GGTCCCGGGTGGGGGAGGGGTCCCGTGGTGGGAGGGGTCCCCGCGGGGCCGGGTCCCCATGGTGGGAGGGGTCCCCCGTGGTGGGAGGGGTCCCTGCGGTGGGCCGGGTCCCCATGTTGGGAGGGGGTCCGGTGGTGGGAGGGGTCCCCGTGGTGGGAGGGGTCCCCGCGGTGGGAAGGGTCCCCGCGGTGGGAGGGGTCCCCGCGGTGGGAGGGGTCCTGGGTGGTGGGAGGGGTCCCCATGGTGGGAGGGGTCCTGGGCGGTGGGAGGGGTCCCCGCGGTGGGAAGGGTCCCCGCGGTGGGAGGGGTCCCCGTGGTGGGAGGGGTCCCCGCGGTGGGAGGGGTCCTGGGCGGTGGGAGGGGTCCCCATAGTGGGAGGGGGGTCCTGGGTGGTGGGAGGGGTCCCCATAGTGGGAGGGGGTCCTGGGCGGTGGGAGGGGTCCCCGCGGTGGGAGGGGTCCCCATGATGGGAGGGGTCCTGGGCGGTGGGAGGGGTCCCCGCGGTGGGCCGAGACGGCCCAGGACTGCTCCACAGAAAAGTCGGGAGGTGCCCTCGTCTCAGTGCACGGGGGGGGGGGGGGAGGCTGTGGTCTGCGTGAGCAGTGGGGGCTGGGGCTGGGGTGGGGTGAGCCCCCGCCCCGCCCCGCCCCGCCCCGCCCCAGGCTGTGGACAGGAAGGCTCCTCTCTGCCTGGCCCGTTCCCGCTCACCCTGCCCCATCCCTGCCTGGCTCCAGCTGGGGGCGCTCTCCAGCAGGTGGCGCAAGAATGCGGAGCCCGGTGTCAGAGGGGTGGTGTGGCTGGGGCGTGGGGGTGGGGCACGTGACATAGGTGAGCAGGGCCCTGGAAGACCCCACGGAGGGCAGCTCTGCCCCTCCCAGCCTCCCTCCCTCCCTCCTCGGAGCCTCAGTTTCTCATCTGTGAAACGGGCGCGGGGACGGCACCCACCTCGTCGGGTCCCCGTCACGGGCGCTTTCCCGCGTAGGCGGCCGCCTGCTGCCACACGAGGCGCTGGCAGTGCTGCGTGGCGCCGCACATCTCGGCGGCCTCCAGGCTCCCGCACCAGAAGCTGGGGCCCAGGACGCACTGGTCGGTGCCCAGCAGCACCGGGGCCCGGGGGCCGTGGCAGGCCCCCAGCTTGCTGCACACGGTCACGGGGTCCATCATCTCCCTGAGGCTCTGGATGACGATGGGCTGGTACTGGGTGACGAAGCGGGTGCACTGCAGCTTGTAGGGCAGCGGCAGGATGCTGCAGCCGCCCTTGAAGGCGTTCAGGATGTCCCTCCTGGTGCTGTAGCGCTCCAGGTTCTGGGAGGACACACCCAGCAGCCGCCTGCAGCTGCCGCAGAAGCTGCCCTGGGTCTCCTCGCCCGGCGACGGCGGCAGCGGCTCCCCGTGGGTGGCCCGGGCGCGCCTCCGCCTGTTGCACAGCCGGATGGCCGTGCACACCCTCTCTGGGGAGACCTGGGCCACCAGCTGCACCAAGGAGGGGCTGTAGGTGTCCACGAAGGAGACGCACTGCTGGACCATGGAGGTGGGCATCATGGCGCACACTCGCTCCAGGGCGTGGTCGATGAGGTCCTCCGTGCGGTTGGACAGCAGCCACCGGTCCAGCTCCTGGACCACGTCCAGGCACACCTCGCAGGTCAGGCCGGCCTTCATCTGCACCTCGCTCTTCTTCCCCGGCAGCACCAGCTCCAGGGAGGGGTCCCGGCCGGCCGGCGGGGGCTGCTCGCAGAAGCCCCCCTTGCCGCAGATGTCCCGGGGCGAGAGGAGTCTCAGGCTGCGCTCGGCGGGGACGGACACCTGGCGGAGGTAGTTGTCACACAGCAGCCCCAGGCCGGGCCCCAGGGACTCGCACTGTTTGCCGGTGTCCACCTCTGCCAGCGACACGTTGGCTTGGAGAGCGTCCTGCAGCCGGGCGACCAGCCGGACGCAGTCTCGGCACACGGCGCCCTCCGGCACCGGTGGGGGGTGGAAGCTGAGGGCCCCGTTGGCCAGGAAAGGAGCCGCCACCTGGGCTGCGTCCTCCTGGGAGAGAGGCCCCGGGGCGGCCAGGTGCCTCTGCAGCGGCTCACAGAGGGCGAGCGCCGTGCACACCCGTGCCGGGGCGGCGTCCGGGCCTCCGCCCAGCAGGCTCAGGACGGCGGGGCTGTGGGCCGCCACCGTCCGCTTGCACCTGGCTGAAGACTCCTGGCTGCGGAGCCACTCGCAGGTCTTCGTCATGGCAGCCAGGCTGTCTGCCCCTGTGGCCTCGGGGTTCAGCCCATCAGCCGTGGCGGCCGCCACGGCCCGGCACACGTCGCAGGGCAGGGACCTGGCGGTGGGCTGGCTCCAGACGGTGCTTCGGCAGTGCCCGATGGCCCCGCAGCTCGCTGCCACCTGCAGGTCCCGGCACCACTCCGCGGAGCCCCGGGCGCACAGCTGGGGCCCCGCCATGGGGCTGGCCGTGCCGGCCCCCAGCAGGCCGGGCAGGAGAAGCAGCGCACACAGCATGGCTGCCCAGGGTCCCGGCGGCTTGGCTCCAGTGCCCCCGGCAGCCCGGCTATGCTGTAAACTTGGCTGTTCTGCCTGGTTCCAGCAGGCGCAGCAGGGAGCCCCGCCCCTGGCTCCACCTGCAGCCCCACTGACACCCCGCCCCCCTGGGGGGCCCCTGTGGCCCTCCCCGCCCTCGCTTCCTTGTCCTCTCTTGCTGGGTGAAGTCCTACCCGGTTTTCAGAGCCTGGCTTATATCTGGGTGAAGTTCAGCTCCCAGCTTGGGAAGCCCTCCTGGGCTCCTGTCTGTGTCCCCGGCTCCCCGTGGGCTGCAGGGGTTTCTGGGCTACGCTCCCCATCACTCCCTGCCAGTCCCAGGAGGGTTCTGGGAGGCACGGGGGAGGGGGCAGCCCCTCCTTTAGCTGCCGGAGTCGTCGTGAGCACAGACCTGAACCTGGGGCTTTCCGGCTTGGCCCCACGCCGCGTGCCCGGCTGGGACCAGAGGGGACCCTGGGTGCGCTGGCTGTGCCTTGCGGGGGAGTGGGCCCCTGGCAGCGGCAGGGGCTGGTGGGAGTGCTGCCTGCCTGTCAGGTTCCCCGGCCCCGCCAGTTTCTCCATTGGGCAACTCCCATCAAAGCCGAGCGTGGGCTGGTCCCGAGTGGGCGGGCACCACGCGTGTGTCGAAAGAACACGTATACAGGAGGCTTTGTTCCGTTCCTGTGTCGTTGGTTGTTTTTCCCCTCTTCTTTCGTTTATAAATTGGTGGTTAGGCAAGAGAGTGCTGGGCCGGCACAGGCAGGCGTCTCGGGCTAAATGCCGTGCATGCTGGGGGGGCCTGAGTCGGCCTCGCCTCCACCTGCTGCTGCCGGGCGGGGCGGCCCCACGGGCTTCCTGGGCTCCCTGGGGTCCCTGCGTGCCTGGGAGGGCGTGAGCCGTAGGCAGGGCCGTGCCCGGCCGGTCCCGGGATGCCTCTGTGGGCGTTACGGGAATGCGTGGTCAGCTATGTGGCCAGGCACCTGGGTTTCTGGCCTGCTGGGGCGGGGAGGGAATTTGGACGCAGGGGTTTCTGCCCTCTTTGGATGACGTCCAGGGACTTGGGTCCGTGGGGCCTGGTCGGGGGACAGCGTGGGGCCTGGGTGCTCCCAGGTGGCAGCAGGGCGGCTCCCGGTTTCCGCAGGAAGGCGGGGCTGAGGACAGGCGCCCGGATCTGGATCTGGCTCAGGCAGGCGCTGGCTGGGTCCCTCCCACGCGCTCCTCACCTGCTGCCCATCACACCCACGCACCTCCCACGTGGACGCCCTGAGCGAACAGGAGATCCTGCCCGTCTGGTGGTGGGAACCCGGCCAGCCAGCGCCCCGCCCCTCGTCCTCCTGCTGGTCCTCGCGGTCCAGCCCCGGGCTCGTTTCTGTGGAGCTGTCCTCCCCGTCTTTCCGTCCTGGGGCCATGCGCGGTGCCCCGTGTTCCTAGTCTGTGCCGCCACGCGTGGGGTTGTGGAGCCGGCAGGCTGTTCCTAGGCACGGCTTCCTCCTGTGGCTGGGACCCGCCGGGGAGCGAGGGCCCCAGGATTTGCTCATCTCATCCACCCCTGCTGGGCGCGCATGGAGGAGCAGAGCCGCCAGGCGTGGCGTGCGTGGGGAGCCAGAGTGGCCGTGCCGTCCCCGCTCCCCTCGTCTGGTTTTGGGGGTAGGGCGTTTTCTCTGTGGGCCCCAGGTGACCCCGTCAGGGGAGCGCGGATCTCAGCAGGTGTGGGGGAGGGAGGGCTCGGTCGCACAAGGTGGCCTGCACTGTGGATGCCAGACTCACTCCCCGGGTGCCCCGTGCCTCCAACCCCGCGGCTGCACATGGCGGGGTCCCCGCCCCCTGCTCACGCCGGGCGATTCGCGGGAACGGCTCCTGGAGCCTGCGTCTCCAGTTTCTGATCAGTGGCACCGCCCCGAGTTTGCAGAGCGCTCCCCATCCCCGTGAAAGGCCCGGCCCTGCCCTGTTTGCTTCCTGGGGTCGTGCCCAGCCCCTCGTCCTCCTGTCTGCCCCAGTCTGCGTCCGCCTCCCCGCCTTCCCGTCTCCTTCTCAGAAGAAAGACTGAGAGTTTGTAGTTCATTTATTATGAATTAAGAATCCTGTACTTTTAATCGCGTTTAGTAACACCTGGGCCTGCATGGGCCTGCCTGCCCCTAACAACACACCGGAGGCCAGGCCTTAGCAAGAGGGCTCTAAGTTCAGGCCCTGGCCAGGGCCCCGCAGCTGTGTCAAATGCCCTGGGGAGCTGAGATAGAGCAGGACAGGAAGCTGGGGGCGTGGGGCGGGGCCAGTGACCACCAGCCACAGGCCCCGCCTCTTAAAGGACCCATCACCCCCCCACTGAGGACTAGCTCCCAGCACGGGAGCCCTTGGCGGCTGCTCAGGCCGTCTCAGACCTGACGGCGTGTGCACACCCACAGCCACATCTCTGCACGTGGACGGGAGCGTGGCCGATGGTTCCAGCACAACGCCCGGCGTCCCCCGCGCGGTTTCTGCAAGGCGTCTGCCCGGGAAATGGCCATCGGCTCCAAGTGCCCTTAATGCATTTCCTCGCTTGCCGAACCCTAAAACCAACCCTAAAACTGTCCGTGAGACGCTGTCCCCGGCCCTGTGGAACGGTAAGGCCGCCGGCCGTGGTTCTGTATCTCTCTCTCCTGCTGGGTGACATTTGCAGGGAGCTAAGTGCCGGCATCCCAGGGCGGGGTTCTGCGGGAGCAGGCATGGTCCCCCCCACCCCCCGTGGGTGACTGTCCCTGCCCTTGCACCTTCCCCGTTCCTGTACCGTGAGCGCACCTGGCCATCTGGATCTAGGGCAGGGGCGTGGCCACAGACAAGGTGTTCATCCACCTGGGTGGCTTCCCGGGGGTTGCTCCACCCTGCGGCTCCCAGCGTTCCTGGTGGTGGGGCGTGGCAGGCAGAGGGTGCGCTCAGGTGGGGGTGGGCCATCTCAGGCGGCTGCCATGGGCGCTGTCGCCCAGCAGGGCCGCCGGTGCCGGGTGCTCCACGTGCCTTCACGGCATGATGTTGTCGACAGTCACCCACCATTCTGGGTCCGACAAGGGCCAGCACTTGCCCTAGTTTTGTTTTACACGAATTCCAGTCGTTGAGGAATGTCCCGCGGAAGCGATTGGCGGTCTTTTCCCCGAGTAAGCTGAGGCTGGCCACAGTGGAGTTATGGGGCGGCCGGGCCGCTCTGCTGGCGGGAGCAGGGAGGAGGGTGCCTTGGCCTGGCTGCTGGGCGAGGCGGGGCCGGGGAGCTCTCGCTGCCAAGCCACCAGGTGCGTGGGAGGGGAGGCGCTGCTCCCTGCGGACGCTGCCGCTTGCCCGCCGACCGTGGGATGCCGGCCCCAGCCCAGGGGCTTGCCCGGCATGTTCCGGAAGGGCCCAGAGGGTCCTTTCACATCCCCTCCCCTCGTCCGTCATGCCCGCTGTGCTGCCTGTTCCCCCTCCTCGCTCCTCCTGGGATGACGCCCCTGCCCCTCCCCCAGGGCCCCCCATCACCTCCTGTGTGGCTGGGGGCTGAGGTGGGATTTGCTCAGGGGCTCATTTCCGGGAAGAGCGGGTGCTGGGCCGGGGACGCCCACCCACACGGGAGCCAGCGTGACGTGGCCGCTCTCAGGCCAAGTGGGAAGTGAGTTCTGGGGATGAGACGGGTGGGGGTGGAGGCAAGGAGGGAGGCAGGTGCTCCCTCGGCACCTTGGCGCCGCCGGGGGCACGGGCACGGCTGCACGTTGTCTTCCATGCAGCACGAGGCTGAAGCCCAGAGCCCAGGCCTGCTCAGGGAGGCACTTGCTGCTTCTGGACGGGGGAGCTGGGGTTTGTCCAGTGCGGCCCGCGGCAGGCCTGAGGATGCCCAAGTCGGGGCGTAGTGGGGTCCCAGTCCAGGGCTTTCTCCTGGGAGCTTGGGGCAGCCGGGCGGGAGCCCAAGCCCTCCCTGAACCAGCAGGTGTGGGTGCCCGGCTGAGGCAGCGATGCTGGGCAGGCACACAGAGGCTGTGGGCTTCCGGCTCCCGTGAAGGGAACGTGGCGTCTCTCGAGCCTGGGGAGACGTCGCCCCAGACCTCCTGCCATCTCCCCTCCTGCGGGCAAGTGGCAAGCTCAGGGGCCGGGGCCCCCAGCAGCCGAGCCCCACAGGGGCCCAGGGCCCAGTCTGGCCAACACGAGCGGAGGATGTGGGAGGCTCAGCCGCCAGCTGGGGGCCTCGCAGCTGCGCGCTCATTCCCACGCTCTTTGCAGGCAGGGGTCTTGGGCCGAGCGCCAGCAGGGCTGTGTTCTCTGCTCGCGCCGGCCGGGGCTCCTGCACCTGTGTGGCCACCGTCCCGGGCCAGCCGTGGCTCGGGGCTGCGTCCCTCCCGGCTCAGCCTCTGTCTTTCTGGGGCCGCATTTTCTCCGTCTGCTTCTCCCGGCAAGGGCGCCGGGCGCTGGATTCGGGGTCCACTCTAATTGGGGGTGACCTCATCGTAACCGATTCCTTCTGTGGAGACTGGGTTTCCAGGTGAGCTCACCCAAGGTTTGGCACTCGCAAGTGTGTACTGGGCAGGGGGCATAACTCGACCCACAGCAGATGCATTCTGGGGGTTATGACCTTGGCCTGGTGCCCGCTGTGGTGCAGATCCTGGGGAGCCTGGGCTGGGGGACTCCTGTGGTGGAGCGCCTGGGCTCGGGCCAGCACCCCAGGGGCTCGGAGCACCTGTGAGACTCAGCTGTCTGTGGACCTGCCGCTCCCCAGGGCCACGCGGACCTGAGAGGCCGGGAGGAGAGAGGTGCTGTCGCTCAGTGCTCCCGGCGTGTGAGAAGTCGGCCCAGGGTTCCCAGTGCTGCATGGCTGAACTGTCAGGGACGAGAGGGAGGCCAGGAGCAGGCTGATTCAGGACCCAGCAGTCCTGGGGCGACACAGATGCCTCCGGTTCCAACGGCGCTCATCCCAGCCCCGCAGTGAGCAGGGGGTTGGGGGCAGCGAGGACGATGGGGTTTGTGGAGGTCGGGCAGGTCCCTGGGTTGGTTCCTATCTCCATCTTGGCACCCATTGGATGGAAGCTTCCTGTCCGGCACAGGTCCCGTGGCGCTGGGCATGGCTGCTGCATGGGTCCTCAGGTGACAGGTAGAGTCGGCTGTCCCGGCCCCCGGGGTGGGGAGCGACTGCGATGGGGGCCGTGGGCCTCGTCCTGTGCGGGTGGAGGAGCGGAGCTGATCCTAAGCGCTGGGGGCTGCACCTCACTTGTTTCGCTTCTTTTCCCTACCTGGGTCCGGTCCGGCATTGTCCCGGAGCCCCTGTGATGGGCTGGGGCTCAGAGTTAATGAGACAGTCCCGGGACCCCCAGAGCTCACCTCCCAGGGGAGGGGCAGACACACCGAGCGTTAGAATGGCGTGGAGGGAAGGGGTGAGCGAGTCGGCCGTGGGGTGGCAGGGCCCGGGCAGGCCTCAGCGACTCAGCAGTGTTGGAGCAAAGACGCGGGGGGAGCCAGGTGGGTGTCTGGGAGTGCGCGTGGCAGAGCAAGGCAGGCCCAGGCCAAGGTCCTGGGGCAGGCAGGCGTGGGACGGGGCGGGGCGCAGCCGGCTTGAGTGGAGAGGAGGGGGGCTGGAGGGAGCTGAGGTCGGAAGCCACAGGGGAGGAGGTGGCCGCAGGGATCCGGGTGAGGCGAGTGAGGGGTGGCTGTTGGGCACCGCATCTGACCAGAGTCTGAGCCGGTGGTGCGTGTGAGTGGAGCACCCCGGGGGCTGCGGCCTGAGCAGGTGGGAAGCCTGGAGGCGGGGACCTGGGCAGGAGGACCTGTCGGGCTGCTCTGTGACAGGCGGGGGAGGGGGATGGCCCAATCCAGGGCGTGGCTCAGAGGGGGCGTGGCCAGGGCCCTGGGTGCTGAGGGAAACAGGGCACGGGGGAGCCCAGGCTCCTGTCAGCGCCGCCGCCTCAGGGCTGGGGAGGAGAACCAGACCCTCCAGACCCTCAGGTGCAGGCGAGAGGCTGGGGACGGCCTGGGAGTTCCCCGGGGGACAGGTGTCTGGCTCAGCAGGGGGCTCGGGCCCCGGTAGAAGTGTGGGAGTCACACCCTCCCCTGGTATTTGAGGGTCAGAGGTTGGAGATGCCTTGGCGAAAATGGCAGGGAGGAGCCTCGGGAGCGTGGGCAGAGGGGCTGGGGGCAGCGGGGCTGGGGGCTCCCGGGGCTGGGGGCAGAGGGGCTGGGGGCTCCTGGGGCTGGGGGCAGCGGGGCTGGGGTCAGTGGGGCTGGGGGCTCCCGGGGCTGGGGGCAGAGGGGCTGGGGGCTCCTGGGGCTGGGGCTCCCAGGGCTGGGGGCAGCAGGGCTGTGGGCTCCCGGGGCTGGGGGCAGCGGGGCTGGGGGCTGCCGGGCTCAGAGCTCCCGGGCTCCGAGCCGGGTGTGCAGGGTGTGCCCACTGGAGCTCCAGGCCCGGGCTGCCACTGGAGAGCGCGGCAGGTGAGCTGACGCTGGGGTTGGCTGGGGACCCGGATGTGGGGCAGGCAGCATGGAGCCCAGCAGGGAGTCCCCATGGAGGAGGGGCCGGGGAGAGGCGCTCGGGAGCCGGCTCCGCTCTGGAGGCGGAGGGGGAGGGCTGGCGCTGGCGTGGAGGGAGCGGTCCTGAAGCTGCCTCTGAGGTGGGTCGTATGGGGTGGGCTGGTGCTAGGCCAGCGCTAGGGTGGGCCAGTGCCCGGCCCTTTCACCAGGGCCATGGCCGACCCCGCTACTCCTGAGTGTGGACAGGCAGGCCCTCCTCCCTCCCCCTCCTCCACCCTGGGCTCTGACAGCCCCCGGGCCTGGCTCCAGGTCCTCACTGTGCTCTTCCATAGAGGGGGCGTCTGTGGAGGCCCAGGCCACGTGGTGGGGCGGGGGGGCCCAGTACCCTAGCAGCCCTTGGCCTCACGAGCTCCGGGGTTCCTGCTGAGCCCTGGCTCTCCCACCTGCACCACTGCGCACTCAGCTGAGACCTCGCTCGCCCCTGGTCTCTCGGGGTGGGGGCTCTCAGGAGGCTGCACTCCTCCTCCCGGGGTGGGGGCTCTCAGGCTGCACCCCTCCTCCCGGGGTGGGGGCTCTCAGGAGGCTGCACTCCTCCTCCCGGGGTGGGGGCTCTCAGGCTGCACCCCTCCTCCCGGGGTGGGGGCTCTCAGGAGGCTGCACTCCTCCTCCCGGGGTGGGGACTCTCAGGCTGCACCCCTCCTCCCGGGGTGGGGGCTCTCAGGAGGCTGCACCCCTCCTCCCGGGGTGGGGCTCTCAGGAGGCTGCACCCCTCCTCTCGGGGTGGGGGCTCTCAGGAGGCTGCACTCCTCCTCCCGGGGTGGGGACTCTCAGGCTGCACCCCTCCTCCCGGGGTGGGGGCTCTCAGGAGGCTGCACCCCTCCTCCCGGGGTGGGGGCTCTCAGGAGGCTGCACCCCTCCTCCCGGGGTGGGGGCTCTCAGGAGGCTGCACCCCTCCTCCCGGGCTGGGGGCTCTCAGGAGGCTGCACCCCTCCTCCCGGGGTGGGGGCTCTCAGGAGGCATGTGGGCGGGGCTGGTTTCCCCAGGCCTCTCTCCCCACGGCTGGAGCGGCCGTCCCTCTGTGGGCGACGGGTCCTCGTCAGAGCCGGGGGGCGGGGCACACCCCACAGCCGCGTGTGGCCTCACTCGGCTTTCACGGCCCGGCCGGCCAGCCTGTGCCTGCCCCAGCGGGCTCACTGATGCTGTGGAGTGAGTGAGTGAATGAATGAATGGGTTTATGCAAATGAGGTGCTGAGGTGCCCCCTGGGCGCCTGGGGAAATCCCTGGGGCGCCAGGGAGCCGCCTCTCACATCAGGTGCGCTGCTGAATTGCTTTGTGTGCGTGTCTCCCACATTCCGTTTCCTGCCCAGGATGGGGTGTGTGTGTGGGCGTGTGTGCGTGTGCATGTGTGTGTGTGTGCGTGCACACACACCTGCCTGCCTGGAGGAGGGGCACTTCCTCTAGGGCCAGAGGCACTGGTAAGAGGCTTCGAGGCATTGCGGGGCGGGGCAGGGGGTGCCGGGGAGACCCCCACGCACCCCCCTGTGGCCTCTGTGACCGGCAGCTCTGGGTCCATCCGGCACAGGAAGGGGTTTTAGGAGCAGGCACTTGGCTGTTTGCCCCAGGAGCAGCAGACGCAGGCCCCGGCTGTGCTGGGCACCCTTGGTCCCCGGGGACCGCCCTGCACTTGCTCCCGTGGCCTCGTCCTGCTCCAACCTCCTATTTGTGAGCTGTTGGCCTGGCAACTGTGTGCCCCCAGGCTGTGGGGAGGGGAGTGGGAGGGGGCGGGGTGGAGGGCGCACCTGGGGGCCTAGGTCTCCCGCTCCTGGGGACACAGGCAGGGGCCTCTCCATCCACCCTGCTCCTGGGTGTCCCAGACCTCTCCGGGGCCAGCCTGCGGCAGGCACACAGCAGGTGTGTGGCGAATGACTGACGGGCTGCGTCATGCACAGTAGGTCTGCAGGGACCTCGCTTCCCGAGTGCTGGCCGTGTGTCCCGTGAGTCCCAGCCTCCGTGCTGGGGGCCTTTGTCTTGAAAGGACATGAGCAGGCCTGAGGCAGAGGCTGGGACGGCAGTGCCCCAGCCCCGAGTGGCTGCTGCCCGGGGAGCAGTGACTTCCAGTGCACACCGCGAGCCGGCAGTTGTGGCCGCCGGAGATGGCAGCTCAGTCCTGTGGCCGCACGGGGAGGGGGCGGGGCAGGGGTGGACACGGTCGGCTGTGTGCTGGGCCTCTGGAGAGAGGCCGACCAGGCTGCACCCCTGGGACCACCCAGACCGCCAGCCCCCAGAGGCTGCAGGCTCCCAGACCAAGCTGGTGCTGGCCAGGGTCGGTGTCTGCCTGCGTTGCTCGGTGCTGGTCCCTGGGACGGAGTCCCTGAGGTGGCCCCCTCCTCCAGAGAACACAGCTCAGCTTTGACCATGCCGGGGGTGCACCGTGGCCGGCAGCGGCAAGAGGCAGGGGCACGGGTGTCTGTGTCCGCGTCCCGGGCTCTGCCCTCATGACCCCACCCGGCTACATCAGCACCCGGAGCCCCCAGCTCTGAGAACCATCGTGGCGTGATGGTTCCACCCTCTTCGGGCCATGAACGTGGTCTTGGGGACTCAGCGCCCGAGTGTGGGGGCGGATGTTGAGGCCTTGGTGGTCCGCGGGGTCCCTGGGGTGCCCTGGCGGGGCTGTGCTTCTGAGAGCTCCAGGGAGGGGAGCTGGTTCCGGGGAGCGGGAGGAGGGGAAGCTGGGAGGGGAGAGGGAGAAGGAGAGGGAGAGGGATAGGTCCCCAGGGTCCCCGAGGCGTGGCTGCCTGTGTGAGGAGCAGCACTGACTCCTACAGGCACTGGGGGGGGGGGGCGTGAGCAGCAGGGCTGTCCCGGGGAGGGCTGTCTGCAGCGGCGTGGGGGCGGGGCCAGGCAGGTTCCTGCAGAGCCCGGGCCTGGGGCAGCTGGTCGGAGCCGCTCCCCTTCCTCCCTGCCCCCTCCCCCGCCCCGCCCTCGCTGCCCACGGTGCCCCCGGTGCCCCCGGGTGCTGTGTTTGGGACAGAGCTCTGGCTACCTAAACCTGGGGGGCACTCGGCCAGCATGAGGCCCACGTAACGTGGCGCCACTGCCACCGACTCGCTCATCAGCTGCGCCCTGGGTGTCTGTCTCAAGGTACAGGCGGCACGGGCCCCAGACAGGGTCCGGCCTGGTGAGGCTGCCACGGGCCAGGGGGCTTCCTGCAGAGCCTCAGGTGCTGGCTGGGCCCGAGTCAGGCCTGGCGGGGAGCAGGGGCTGCCCGGGCGTCGGGGGCAGCAGTGGGGCGCCGTGGAGCAGCCCCCTGGGGTCACTTCCCCTGCGCAGAGGCCAGGGGGGACAGCGAGGGGCGGGCAGGAAGAGGCGAGGCCTCGGACGTGAGTCCTGGAGCCCAGCCACTGGGCACAGCCCCTCCTGGCCTCGGCTGACTGACCTGTAAAATGGGCTTTAGCGTCTCAGTTCCTTTCTCCGGGCCTGGTGGGCCTGGCCATGAGGGGCTGGGGCTCTGTAGCCTACCTGGCCCCGCCCCCACACAGGGCTGTCAGAGATAAGGCCCAGTCTGGTTGCTCAGTGTGGGCGGGGTCCCAGAGGCTCCGCCTCTCCGTTCCCCTCCCAGGCCTCTCTCTCCTCCCTGCCCTGCCCTGCGCCCCACTTCCCTGGGGAGCTGCACTTCTCCAACCTCGCCTGGTGGGAGAGCTCGGCCCCCAGCCCCCAGCCCCTGCCGGCCCACCGGAAATGCTGGCGGCTGGGCACGGCCAGGGCGTCCACTCTGTGGGCACCGCCAGGACCGCTGCAGCCTCCCAAGGGCCGGAGGCAGAGGAGGCGGAGCTCTCGAGCTCCCAGCTGGACACTGACCCTGCCGGTCTGGTGGGGCCCCTCCTCGCCCTCGTGCCTCCGCCTCCAGGAAGCCCTCACACACCCAGGCTAAGGCGGCGTCTTACTGCCATGAAATGAGCATGCCCGGTTTGCAAATAGCACTAGGACGTCAGGGTCTTCTGTGGAAGTCCCCCGTGGCGCGTGGACTCTCACAGAGTCATGGCCGCCTGGATCCCCGCGTGTGCGGCCAGCCAGGGCCACAGTTCAGAAGAGACCATGGAAGTGGGCTCGCAGCTGCTGTCCCGCGTGTGCCGAGTCACCGGGCGCCACGTAGTTGATGCCTTGCGTGGACTCTGGGCTTCCACCAGGTCCCAGCCCCACCAGCCCTTCCCGGGGGGGAATTCCACCGGTCGGAACGTGTTCCCCCACCCCCGACCTCCCGCACAGCCCTCTGGGAGTGCTGGCCGTGCCCCCTGGGCCTACAGGCCGGCTGGGAGCTGCGGTCACTGTAGCTGCCCCCTCCTGCCCCTGCCTCTCAGGAGCCCAGGGCGCCACAGGTTCCTGCTGAGTCACAGCCGCAGCAGGTGGGCTCGGCCGTCTGGGGCTCCTCAGGGTGTTTGTCTCCTGGGACCCATCTGCTGGCCCCTTGCAGGGCGCTCCCGGGGAGGGACCTGGTCCCCTCCCTCCGTGTCCCCCGCGTGGGGCGCAGCCCGGCTCGGCCCATCCGAGGGAGCCAAGTGCTGCTCCGTGGAGACCCGCGGGTGCTCAGCAGCCTGGCCCCGGGGTCCCCGGTGCCCATGGGGGGCCCAGAGCTTTGGGGTGCCGGCCCCTGGCTTGGAGGGTCTGATCTACTCCCAAACCACATCACGGACGGAGGACTGTCCAGCTTGGCTCCCCGGCCGCAGCACCGCACCGTGGGCAGCGCCGCCTGCCTGGGGGCTTTCCGGCCCAGCACACGCGTGTGTGTGGGAGGCGCTCGCTGAGCACCGTGGTCCCGGTACGGCCGAGGGCTCCCCGCTGTCCAGGAGCTCCGCACGGGCACCTCAGGGCCTGAGGTCGCGACCCCACCAGCTGCCAATCAGGCGCTCTCTGCTGTCGCCCCCCCCCCCCCACACTCCTGCCAGGGTCCCTGAGGACCCGAGGCCGAAGGCGGAGGGAGAGTTCGCCGGAAGCTCCTTGGAGAAACGGCGCAGGAATCAGGGCGAAGGTGCTGTCCGGCCGCAGGAAGCGGCGATCCGAGCGGCGGCCCGGTTCCTTGTCCAAATTACATTACTCATCATTTCCTCGTCCGTAATAGAATAATGACTGCCCCCGCTCTCTGCCCTCAGCGCGCAGGCCTCTGAATGCGGAAGGAGCCGCAGGTGCTGCGCCGGCCCCATCCCGCACCTGCGCCCCCCGCCCGGACCGCCCGGACGCCGCCTCACCCATCGGTCTACAGCTGCCGGCTGCTGGCCTGGCCACGCCCGTCCCGCCTCTGCGTGGTGGCCGCGAGCCCTGGGTGACCACCGGGGATGACGGCGGGCGTCGCTGAGCACGAGAGGAGCTGGGACCCACGCGTTCCTCATCCCCTGTGACCCCTGCTGAACTCCCCACGCCCGCGCCCGCAGTGTGGTCTGAGACCCAAGGCGTCATGCGCCGTCCCCCCTGCGCCCACTCTGATCGGCGCCTGCCTCTTAACGAGGCCTCCGCAGACGCCAGGCCACCGGCGCGACGCACGCGACACCTGCCCGTCTCGGTGTCCGCAGGACTAAAACTGGGCTCCCCGGAGGAGCCGCAGCGCGGGTGTCGGCGAGAGGACGCCGGGGCTGCCCCCTCGGGGCGGGGGCTCCCAGGAGGCGGCCAGACCCCCTGCGAGGCGCTCCTGGCAGGGGCGCGTGGGCGGGGCAGAGCCAGGGCAGGGGTCAGAGCTTGGGTCTCAGCGCGCCCACCGTGAGCAGATGGCTTCGTGCCAGCGCCCCGGTGTCTCCATCCGTAGAAGCCGGAGGAGGCCGGCCTCCCGCGGCGGCTGGGTGGGCGGTGCTGTAGGGACCCTGGGCGTGGAGGACGTTTGGTGGACCTGGTCACAGCGCCCGGCACACTGGAGACACGAGTGCACGCCCTTGGCTCTCAGCCCGGTCCCTGGCTTTCTGCGCACCCTCCTGCAGCCCCGTGCCCTTGTCGTCTGCTCCAGGGCGCCCCCTGCTGCTCAGCGCGAGCTTTGCCAGCGTGCCGCAGGTGCGTGATGGCCGGGACCCCCGTGGACCCAGAGAAGGCGCGAGTGTCCTGTTTCTGTGTTTCGTTCTGTGAGACCGACTGAGACCTTGGCGCTGACCAGTTGAGCCGCTGCTATTTGCCGGAAGCGGGCTAGGACGGCGGCGGGACAGAGGCTTCCGCGGGTTTGCAGGTGGGGGTCTGGCGGGAGCCGGGAGCTTGACTGGCAGGGGGCTGGGGGCTGGGGGCTGGGGTGGGGGTGGCGAGCAGAGGCTCTGTCTCCTGCAACAGAGACGCCGCGGGAGGCCACGTGCAGGGGAAACGAGATCCGGGGCCGCGCCTGGCAGTGCCCAGAGCAGAGTGCGAGACACGCGGCTGGGGAGGGTCCTGGTGCCAACTCCCCTGTGCCTGTGGGATGCCGGCCTGGGGTGACAGCAGGCACCCTCTGGCCCCAGGCTTTGTCCAGCTGTTCCCTCCTCCCTCCTGTCCTCCCTGGCTGCCCTCCCTGGCTGCCCCTGTTCAGGGCCTTCCCGACCACCTGTCTGCCAGGTGCCTCCACCCGCTGTCACCCGCCTTCGGCACTCAGCCCTCTGACATCGCCAAGGCCTGCTCCGCTGTCTGCAGACTGCACTGGGTTAGGCTCGGACGGAGCAGCCAGCGCCCCCTGGTGGATCCCTCAGGGCTCAGTGCTCCCAGGCAGGGTGGGTGACCCTGACCTAATGCCACTCTTTCCTCCGACCACACCCAGGCCCCCAGGATGAGGAGGGGTGGGTAGAGGGAGGGGCTTGCTGCCTCTGAACCTCTGGCTTTGGCTGCTGTGGGGGTGAGGCCAGCAGCACTGGGCCTCGGGACGGAGCGAGTGGCCACACAGACGCAACCCCGGGGGAGGCATCTCTGCTCCATGCCTGGGAGGACGGTGGGGGGCGTCTCACTCGGACCCGGGCACACGGAAGGGGTGTGGTCTCTCCCGCTCTGGCCCCAGCTTCGAAGGGAGAAACCGAACCATCCGGTGTTTAAATCAGCGGATTCCGAGCTGGAAGAATTAAACGACTACCGATTGAGCGATTGGTTGAATGAGGCACCGGCCCCTCCCCCAGCCTCCCCGCTTGTGCGCTGCCCTCCAGGACTGGGCTGCACGGTCCCCTCCTGCCCCGCGTCCTGGGGCAGACGCGGGGCTCCACCAGCAGTGCCAAAGTCCAGATGACCCCAGGGCGACGCTGCCCCCTGGCTCCCCGGCCTGGGACTGCAGGCCCCCCTCCCCCTTCCCATCTCTGGCTCCGCCTCCCGCAGCCTCCCTAATATCTTCATGAAGACCTCAGCTCAGCGACCTCGGCCAGCACCCTCTTCCCGGGGGACGTCGCTCGGAAGCTCCCAGGCCTGGGGACGTCTTTGTGCACCGAGGGCCGAGGCTGGGGCGGCAGCCTCTCTCCGTCCAGCGTGCCCCCTTGGCCCTTGCTGCCCCAGGGGAGGGGGTGTGCCGGGGGCCCCCATAAGAGCCCTCCCCAAGCCAGGAGGCAGGCTATCCTCTGGGGCAGGGCAAGGCTCCGCCTCCCGCCGCCCTCACGTCCTCGGCGGGTCCTGCTCGGGGCAGGCGTGGGCCTGGGTATGGCGTGGCTCTCGTGGGCCCCCTGTGGGGCGGTGGTGGAGTGCGGCGCTCCCGCCTCTCTTTGCTTCCCGGCACCTGGCTGGTGGCCTGCCGGCTGCTGTCACAATCGGGAATGTACGTTTGCTGAGCTGGAGAGACCACACCACGTGCACGCAGGGGCCTCTGCTCCTCCCCCGAGAGCCCGCAGGAGGCGCCTGCCCCCGTCAGCCCTGGTCAGCCCTGTCCTGGGCACCCAGAGCTGTCTTGGTGGGGCTGGGCTCCCCGACTCCCCCGCCCCTGCTGTCCACTGCCCACTCCTCCCAGGGAGCGGGGGTTCCTGCTCTGCGCTGTCTGTGCGTTTAGGGCTCCTGTGGGCGGTGGTTTCTCCCAGGCTTGTCACGTGTCCCCTGTAGACACGCATGGCCTCGTGCCCTTCTGGTACGCAGGAAGCAGAGCCGGAGCAGAGCCACCCCTTCATCTGCGAGGACCTGCCTTTCCGCCGTGGCGGGGCAGCCTGGAGGTCATTTGGGTCTTCTGGTACCTGGGCTCCGTGCAGTGACTCTGAAATTGAGATGGTCTCAGCAACAGAGTGAGGCGATTGATTAGTGATGCCTGCCACGGTCTCAGGATGGGACTCGGGTCCGTTTGCCCGCTCCACTCACATCCTTCAGGTCTGACCATCCAGTTTTGCTGTCACCGAGGGGTTGTTTCCAGCCCCCAAAAGCTCAGCGGGACTCAGCGATAGCCACAGCTGTGTGCCCTGCCGAGAGGCCCCGCTGTGGGCAAGGGGAAGTCTGAGTGGGTCGCGGGTCCTGGCGGGCATCGTGCGGGTCGGTCGCAGTCTCGGAGTTCGGGAGATGAGGCCAGAAGGAGCAGTCCTCCTCATGGGCCTGCTTTGCCACCCCCATGGTAGGGACGCTCGCACCTGCATAGACTCTGTACCCCGCTCTTGCTGGTGTAGGCCCTGCCTCCTGCAGCCCCTTCTCAGGTTGTCCTAGACCTTCCTGGTCCTTTAAAGCACTTTACAAGAGATTCATTCGTTTATCTGAAAGGCAGAGTCACAGAGAGAGAGGGAGAGACAGAGGCCTTCCGTTCGCTGGTTCACTCCCCAGATGGCTGCAACAGACAGGGCTGGGCCAGATCTAAAGCCAGGAGCCGGGAACTCCGTCCGGGTCTCCCACGCAGGTGCAGGGGTCCGGGCACTTGGGCCGTCTTCTGCTGCTTTCCCAGGTGCCTTAGCAGGGAGCTGGGTTGGATGCAGAACAGCCGGGACTCCATCTGGTGCCCATGTGGGATGCCGGCGTTGTGAGGGCCGTGGCGCCGGCCCCTATAGAACTCTGCCTGGCATTCCCACGGTCTCCTTGGTCGGCTGGGCAGGAATGGCCGTTTCCTTTATAGATGGGGAAACTTAGAGACGAGGCTCAGAGAGCTGGAGGAGTGAGCAGGGGCAGAGCCACGGCGGAGGTGCGTGCCTGTCACGTGGCCCTGGGGACAGGACTGCTCTGCACACGCCCTGGCATGCCCGCCGTCTGAGAGGAGAGGAGACCTCCTGTCTTAGGTTTCTTTATAAAGCACTTTGTAAATGAGCCAAGACAGAGCTTTAAACTTCTTAGGCAGTAAGTCCACACTTTTCTATCTGTGTCCATTCATCCCTTCATCCATCCACCCATCCACCATCTATCCATCGAACCATCCATCATCCGCCTCCCATCCATCTACCCACCATCCATCCATCCATCCATCCACACACCCACCCGTCATCTGTCCATCCTCCACCCATCATCCATCCGTCCACACACCCACCCGTCATCATCC